GTCGGCGCCGGCTGCTTCCTCGGCGGCAACAGCGTCGTCGGCGGCAACTTCAGTCTCCATCGGCTCTGCAGCAGATGGATCTGACAGCCGGGAAAGAGGAGAAGAATCAAACAAATATCCAAGAAAAAGAAAGAAGAAGAAGATCAACAAGAAGAAGAAGCCAAGGGAAGTTTTGGAGCAAGGAGATTACCTGTGCCAGGCTCTGCGGTCGTGGTCTCCGTCGCCGGGGGGGGCCGCTGGTGCTGTCCCTTGCCGGAGACCCCTCCCTTGCCGGGGGTTCCTCCCTTGCCGGAGCCTCCTCCCTTGCCGGAGAGCTCTCCCTTGCCAGGGACCTCTCCCTTGCCGGAGGACTCTCCCTTGGCGCTTCGGGGGCGGCCTCCGGGCTCTCCTGGTGGGGCTGCTCTGCTCCTGCACAAATCAGCAAACAGATATCAGCAAAGCAAGACTCTTCATGCGCGCCCAACAGCGGGAAGTAAACAAGATACTTACGCTGGGGGCTGCTCTGGAGATCAGCCGCCGGGTCCGGCAAGGTTGTCTCGGGCGCGTCCCCTGCTGACGCGGTGGGTTCGTCCTCGATGACAATCACCGGCGCCTTGGCTATCTTTGCTGCCCTCTAAGCCAGAGTCCTGAAAAGGAGCAGGTTCAGAGAAAAGCAAGTAAGATGCAAGACAAAAACAGCAAGGATTGGTGGACTGCAAGTACAACAAGGAAAACTTACTCTTCTTCTTCTTCCTCGCCGGAGCTGAACACGGAGAAGTCAAAGTCTGGCTCGCGTCCGGCGCGGGAAGGTGGAGGAGTGGGTTCCCTTCGTCGCTTGGTGGTAGTAGAAGCAGTGGTCCGGGAAGACCCTGCTCCAGTTGTCGCGGCAGCGTGGGACGCTCCCGCGGCAACGGTGCTTGCCGCGGTAGAGCGTGTCGCGCGACGCGGCGACTGTCGACTCGCCTGCCGCCTCGCCACGTCCCCGACTTTGCGGAGACGTCTTCTTGGTGGGGATGGAGGCTCTGCTTGCGGCGTGCTGTCTGAAGACGAGAAGGAGGAGGAGTTGATATCCAACAAGCCGCTCGTCTCCTCGGCGGGCTCGCTCGGCTCGGCGTCACGTCCGGCAAGCTCTTTCTTGCCGGTAGTCTCCCCTTGCCCGACAAGATCTTTCTTTCCAGTAGGCTCCTCTTGCCGGGCAAGCTCTTTCTTGCCGGCAAGCTCCTCCCGCTCGGCACGGTTTGCCGCCTCTGCTGCCGCTGCCTCCTCCAGAGTGAAACCGAACTCGCCTGTCGCTGCAGCTGCCGCCGCCTCTTCCAGCCTGGTGGTGATGCGCTTCAACTCTGCCTCGGTGGTGTCGCGAGTGAGGCCATCCTTCTCGTCGGGGCGGATCGGCACTTCCACCAAGTTGTCGAAGAATTGCTGCATGACGTCATCTTCAGGCTCCTGCCAAGTTGGCACGATTCCATGCGAGTCGCACAGCGGCATCATTGCCCTGATGCGATCGAGCGCGGAGTTGTTGCACAACGGGACGACGCCCTGCGGCAACCTAAAGACTTCTGGGTGGTCAGGATCATACTTGAAGAGCTCCTGCAGCATTGCGTTGAGCTCCAAGACAGTGAAGTTATAATTGAGGCCCGGGCGCAGCCTCATGATATCCGCCGCATTCTTGAACTCCCAGGCGGGCCTCCTCCGTTCCTGCAGGGGGCGATGCGGCGGCGAAGGAAGTCCGCGCCAACGGCGCCTACAGTGAGTCCGGCAAGCCTGAGGCGTTGGATCCTGGTGACGGCAATCCTCAGCCTGCTGTCCTCCGGGGCCACGTCGCTCCAGTCGCTGCCGCGTGCTACTGCTACTTGGCGCTGGGCGGTAAATGGCTGCGGGTTCTCCTCAACTATCCAACACCAATCTGCTCTCCACTCCTCCCACTTGCCGCGGAACTCTCCCTCCAAATACGAATCCTTCTTGCCGGACCTTGAGATCCAAGCAATTCCGCCGGATAGAGGCTCTCCTCTCTCTACTCGGGGCATGAAGAAATGGCGGAAGAGGGCTACATTTGGGTGGACTCTGACAAAGTTTTCGCAAAGGTGTGCGAAAACTGCCATGGTGAGGACGGCGTTGGGGGTGAAGTCAAGGAGGCAGAGGCCATAGGTGTTCATAATGTCACAGAAAAACTCCGAGAAGGGCGGGCAGAGCCCGCAGTAGAAGAACACGGCGAAAAAGGGGTAGCCGTGTGGAGCCATTTTGTGAGCGGAGGCCGGGAGTACCTTGGTGCTCGGATGTGCTCGCGTCTCCGTCGACCAGAAGAGGTAGTAGTACTCCCTCAACTCCTTCGCATCAAGCTTGGGGGGGAAGACGGCCCGCTCCTTCCGCAGCGCTGCAAGCCGCTGCGCCTCGGTCGTCTTCACGGCCTTCCCCTTGTCGGCTTTCGGAGCAATGGCGGAGGTGGTGGAGGAGGTCGACGGCGTTGGTGGTGCTGGTGGCAATGGGAGGAGCAGGGCGCTGCTCTCTTGCTGCTTTGGGAAGACGGAGGCGGGACGGAGGCTTCTGAGATTGGAGAGGAAAAGGGGCGAGTGGGCGCACTACCCCTGCTTCCCCTTGCTTATAAAGGGGGAGGTGGCGGACGTTCCGTCTTTCCTAATAAAGAAACCGCCCACGATCTCTCCCACGACACCGCGTTCGACGCGTGCCGTGCGGGGAGGGCGCGGTGGATGCGGAGTGAGATACGGCGTAACCTAGGCCGCGCGTGCCCGTGCCCTGTTTTGGGCCTGGCCCAACAGCGCTCGGCACCGTGTATGGCCCAGGCCCGGGGGCTCCTGTCGGTGTACTAAAGTAGGGGTACCTTAGTATCCCGAACTTGTGCACGGGCAGTCACAGCGTCCCGCGGCAAGGCTTGCCGGGTGACCGCCAAGATCCTCCATGGTTCCTTTGGAGCCATTCAGGAACAAAGTATCCAAGACCCCGGCAAGAGGAGCTTGCCGGGAAGGAGACAAGACCCCGGCAAGAGGAGCTTGCCGGGAAGGCCAACCAAGGCTCGGTGAGCGACAAGCTCCCGGACGCGACAAGGCTCTTGCCGCGGCAAGCTTCCACTCTGTACCTGCGCTCCAGCGCATCCACCAACGTGTCGCTCTGGGACCCTTCCAGGCGTACGTGGCGGAAAGCTGTGCAGCCAGAGGTACACGGTGGCAAGCGGCGCTGACAAGGTTGCCATCGTGGCAAGCAATGGCGTCCCTAGCGGTCCCTTTCTGCACCGTCTAGGCGACACAGACAGGCATTTAATGCCTTTGTCCCCTGCCGTCAGGGTTAGGTATGATAACACTGTTGTAGGCGGTGGTGCCAACCGCAGTGCCTTTTCCATTTTTGCCCTTCTCTATGTTGCCACCTGTCGGTGACCCCTTTAGCGTATAAAAGAAGGCCCATGCGCAACGTAGAGGGGGTCGGCCAACAGAACACTCTCACGCTCGGTCTCGTTAGCTGATGCTGTGTACTGTAGCACACCGCGCTCCCGAACAAGAAATCAATACAAACACAATGCAGGAGTAGGGTTTTACGCATCTGTGCGGCCCGAACCTGGGTAAACTGATCGTGTCGCTCGTGCGCATCGCCTCGATCTGCTCTTCGTGCTCTCTCCGCCCCCTGCCGAACCACAAGGGGCTCGGTCCGCCGTGGTCCCATAGGTGTCCGTGGGGATCAGCACCCCGACAGCTTTCTTTAGTTTGTGGAAGTCACTGGCTTTCGGAAGCTTCCTATATGGTTTTTTTATGTGGCTTTTCCTAGAGCGATTTTATTTGGTTTTTTTCTTCCTTTTCTACTACTTTTCTTTTCTCCTTTCTATTTTCTTATCCTTTTCTTTTTTTCTTTATTCATTTTATGTGCTTTTATTTTTAAATTTTTATTTTTCCAGAATGCACGAACTGGGGAATAGGGTTGATTTTTTTAAATCCATGATATTTTCTGAAAATTGAGAAACTTTTTAAAATTCAATGAACTAATTTTTCCCCATTTTTCCAGAATGCACGAACTAACTTTTTAAAATTCAATGCACGAACCATGATTTCCCCATTTTTTTTTCTATTTTCGGTAGGTGCATCTCGCAGAAACAGATATATGTTTCATGCAAAGCAAATATGTGCCTCTCGCAAAAAACCGTATTTTTACCTTTCCGCGAGGCATAACTGTGCCTTTCCCGGAAGCAATTTTGTGCCTTCACACGAAGCAAATCTAAGCCTCTCACAGAAGAAGAAATACATCTTTTTTTTCTTTTTACGAGGCACAACTGTGCCTCTCATAAAAGCAAATATGTGCCTCCACACGAAGTAAATGTGTCCCTCTAGCGAAAGAAAAAACGTTCTTTCCCCTTTTCGAGGGGCACAACAATGCCTTTTGCGGAAGTAAACATGTGCCTCCACGAGAAACAAATTTATACCTCTTGCGAAATAAAAAAACATATTTTTTCTCTTTCTTCTCACGGATAGAAAGAACATTCTTTTTCTTGCAGGTGCTTATTTTCTTTTCTTTTTTGAGTGTGCCTCACGCGAAAGCAAGCATGTGTCTTCAAGAGAAACAAAATTGTTCTGCTCACGGAAGAAAAAAACATGTTTTTTGTGATTTTTTAATTTTCCCCCTAAACCTAGCAAAAACTAGGCAAAA